AGGTAGATTTATTTTTGTTCCAAATAGACAGAAAGTATGTGAATTCCTATAATATATTACTTCTATCGCTAGTCATTCTATAGGTCATTTGAGTGGCCTGTCTCAGTTTCAAAACATGGGTTTTCTCCTTTCATCCTATCCCTTGGGACAGGGAAAGACCAATTTGCTTCAAGAGAAGAAAAAAAACAAGGCCTTAGACATTTCTCTCTATGATTTTCACTTAGGAGAGAATAGATTGATCTCTCAGGTCTGTTTGTCAAAATGAAATTAAAATACTCTCCAAGACAACTAACATGTTATGAAGACTGGATATTTGGGCTGGTTCTGAGAGAGCAGAAAGCTATCTTCCATACAGCTACTCCATGCCTAATATACATTGGGAAGCAATTGCTAAGCATTGTTTAAAGACTTAAAAAAATGCCATAATCAGCCAGGCGCTTGGTGGCTCACACCTGTAATCCTAACTACTCAGGAGGCTGATCTGAGGTTCAAAGCGAGCCCCGGCAGGAAAGTCTGTGAGAGTCTTTCCAATAAGCCACCAGAAAACTGCAAGTTGCGCTATAGCTCAAGTGCTAGAGAGCTTGCCTTGAGCTGAAGAGCTGAGAGACAATACTCTGGCCCAGAGTTCAAGCCCCACAACCAACAACAACAACAACAACTACAAAACATAATCTTTAATCTTGATACAGGAAGCCAACACAATAGTAAACAGTTCAGAAGATCAATGATTCCACAGGGTAAAATGCTCAAGGACATTATAAAGTCTCTCTTCATATAGAAACTAGAAATATGATAGATCCCTCCCTGGTGTCTTGGGACAGTTCAGGTCAGAAAGAGTATTATAAGATGGATTTCCTTAAGTAATGAATGGAAAAGCAGATATATGATTTTGTTATTGCTCCTAGAAATATAAGGTCAAATTTGACCACACTTTATTATTAATAAAAGTACTTTATTTTCTACTTCATTCTACAAAGTATTTAGGCAGAGTTATATTTAATCCTTCAAATTGATCTATAAATTACTTGCTCACGGAAATCTTTTACTGGTCTGCTCTAGCTTCCTTTATTTATTTACCCTAGGAAGCACTCACCAGCTTGACCAGACTCAAAGAGAAAGGGGCACAGGTTCTACCGATAGATTGAGAGAAATGACAAAGAATTTTCTGCATTATGGTAAAAGTTCTATAATCCTCAGTTTGGTCATAAGTTTCTTCCATTCCTTCCAAACACAAATATTCCTTTTAAATGCTAAGAAGCCACCTTTGGTTATGGCATCAGATTCTGGCTCAAGGCCCAGATCTCGTTACTGGTATCAGCTCAGATGTGGAAGAGACTCTTAGAATTGGTTCCTCTCCTAAGGATGATCCCTTCAGCTGTACCACTGAATTAATTATCTTAGTACTTCCCACCTCACTGTAAAAGATAGTGTTGCCAAACTTTGTCCTGCAACAAATCAACATGCCTTTCCCTCTTTCTTGCAATTACAATTCCCTCACATTCTCACAAAATTCCCAGATCTAAGGGCCTCTAAGTCTTTAAACAAATGCCTAAATGTTAGGTCTTGCTAAGCCAGAAATACTACTTCTATGAACTACATTTTGTTCTGCTTATCAATTGTTGCTCACAGATTTTGCTCACAATGTAGGGATCAGGAATCTTTGGACAGGAATTATAGCTCTCCCTTGAGGTCTCTCATGCAGTCAAATGTTCATTCATCTTTCCAATAGGGCTAATTAACTCCTGGGAATCCAGCTGAGCCCCTTGTCTAGGAACCCTATAAAGAGGTTTCTCCATTAGGTTTGGGCTTTGCAAAGCATGCTGACAGTTTTGTGCTTGCTCACATTAATATTCTTGTGAACTGCCTATCTTTTCAGCTAATAAGGTTAATTACTTCTGGGAAAGATTAAAAGCCAAAACCAAAACAAACTTTGTGCTCCAACTTCAAGCAGTTCTATCTAAATAAATTTAACAATGAATTAACCTGCTCAACCGGAAATCCATTTTGAGAGAAAATAAAATAAATGTTAAAATTGTGCTATTCTTGTATACATCATGTTAGCACAAGGATGGCAATGAATAATTGGCATAGTAAATACTCTTTTTTCTAGCTAGTACAATAACTGAACAGTCACCAACAGTGATGTAGGACAAAAGAGGCCTATTACCATAAATGTTAGCTAGATATTTCAAGATTTGATTACCTGCTACCCAGACTTCACCCCATCCACTTGAACTAAGATTCTGCTTTTCATGGCTGAAAATTAAGGGCCTTAGTTGTGTTGGAGTATTGCCTTAGCTGGCATATTCTCCTCAAAATGCCAAGAACGGTTTCTTTGAGAAATTTGGTTCTTTTGTGGTAACACTTATGAAAAGATCCTGGACAAAAGGTAAGTCTGTGAAGGTCTTGATATAACAAAAATAGCAAAAAAAAAAAAAAAACCCAAAACATCAAAATATCTCATGCCAATGAAAATAATTTAACATCATCTTTCTTCAAGTGAGGGTACATGTTCTTTCTTAATAAATAATGATATTGAATAATAATGTTAATAAATAATGATGTTAATACCACTAGAAACTCCAGCCAACTATTTTCCTTTGTGCTCCTTTTAGTTCAGCATGAAATATGATTGAAGAGTAAAGTTCATACTTCAGAACTAGCCATTAGGCTATTTTGTAGTTCAGGCCTGAGGAAAGTACATACAGATTTAGTGAATTTTTGTGTCATTTTTTTTCAAGTAGTGGAATCAATATTAACTTGGGGTAACAGAGTTTTTCTTTGGAAACCATTTGTCCTGAAACTTTTGGGTCTGTGAATTAAAAAAACTGACAAACTGATTATTCTGTAAACCTTGAACAAAAAGAAGAATTTCTTGTCTGACTTCAGGAAGAATGATAGCTTTCATTCTTCTATTTTGTCAGCATGGGATCTCTCTATATAAATATAAAGGATATTTCTCTCTGGTTATATCAGACTGGCTTAAATATATGGCAGAGACTTATCTACTTGAGGAGTTAGCCTCCTGATGGAAAGATTCTGATAAAAGCTTGAAATCTTTGGGAAGATCCTGTGTTTATTCATACTTTATCAACCAGAATTGCATGTTGCAAATGAAGCAGTCTAGTTAACTCATTTAAAATGACTGTCGGGGTTGGGAAGGTAGCTCAGTGGTAGAGTGCTTGCTTTGCATGCATGAGGTTCCTCAGCACTACATAAGCAGAAAACGCTGGAAGTGGCACTGTGGGTCAAGTGGTAGAGCACTCGCCTGAAGCTGAAGAGCTGAGGGACAGAGCCCACGCCGCGACGACAACAACAAAAAATAATAATAAAAATAAAAAGTAAAATGACTGTAGCAAAATTAGAACTAGGTTACTTACGCAATGGTAGCAAGCAAATTATTACTTAGTATCAATAAATATGGTTATTAAGGAGCTAAGTGTTATTTTAAATACTCCTCACAAGAGCTCTGTAAGACAAATGGTGTTCTTTTTTTCAGATGATGAAAAATATTAAATAATAAGCTAATTCCATCAACTATAAGGAGAATATAGATCAGCCTGACTCCAAATCTTCCGTCTCCTATACAATTTCAATGCTATGACAAAAGTTAAATGAAATAATCAGAATTACACAGACAAGAAAGTGTCCCAAAATTAGAAAATGAAAAATTCTGCTTGTGGCTGGGAAGGTGGCTCAGAGGTAGAGCACTTGCCTTGCATGCATGAGGCCCTGGGTTCGATTCCTCAGCACCACATAAGCAAAAAGAAAAAGCTGGAATTGGCGCTGTGGCTCAAGTGGTAGAGCACTAGCCCTGAGCTGAAGAGCTGAGGGACAGAGCCCAGGCCCAGAGTTCAGGCCCCATGACCGACAAAAAAAAAAGAGAAAAAGAAAAAAAATTCTACTTGTGTAAGATAGGATGTATATTGTGATACATGTACATTAATGTTTAGAAATTAAAATATCTACAAAGGAACCAAAGAATGTCCCGGAGGCTTTATAAGGATAACTTTGGTTTTGTCGATCAAGAAAGAGAATCTTCTGAAGACCTTAAGAATGTATTGTTTGTTTTTGTATTTTATGATTTTATATTCTCTCATTCCCATTTTCCTATTTGCTCTCTAAGTCTGAAATTATTTTTAATTACTATGCTCGAGACTTCTTTTCTTGGAAGATAACCAAAGGCTGGAGAAAAGTATGTGCCATTGTTCCCTAGGTAGGGCACAACTTTCTGCTAAGACATTCTATCCACCTTCACCACAGTCATCAATGGTACCAGTGCTCCCACCGGACAGTAGCATATTAAGGTTTCCCAAGTCAACATCCAAAGAACAGAACTTACATCACTGGAGAAAAAATGTAGACTAACCTTAAAAATATTATAAAATCTTTTTTTACAGAAGCTGTCTTCTCCAATTTCTTTGGTAGTTTTTTTTTTTAATTTGGAAATACCCAAATGAAAGAAGCCTGTGTATTTAGTCTCTTTATTTTTACTGTATAGAAAGATTCGTAACAATAAGCAAGAAGATATTTCCTTTTTATGAGCAAGGAGAACAAGACTCCTTATATTCAAATGAATCATCTAGTGAAATTCTTAAAAACTGTTCTCTTGAATTCTCTTATAAAAAAAAGACAAGTTTATACATTACCTGAATTGATTTAGACCTTGGTTTATATGACTAAATAACAATGTTAATGTAATCAGTTCCTTAATAGAATTTTAAAAGTAAAATAAAACAAAAAATGAAACCATATGGCTTTTCCCCATTTTTTCAATAATATTTACTTGAGGATCTTTTGCTTGCATTTGACTAACCTCTTTGTGTTTATTTTGTGTTGTGTCTGCTACTCAACTAATCCTTTTGAGGTACATTTCTTTCATGAAGACAGTCCTCAAACATAAGGCTTTTAGAAGAAAGGAATTAATACTTAAAATGTGACATTGACTTAGTTGTTACATTAGCAAACATGAAGCATCCTCTATAACTTTATTTACTTACCTACAAGTCCTAAGACAATGTAGCCTATAATAAACACAATGAAGATTATGCAGCACAGAACATCTGTACACCTCCTAAAGACAGAAAGGAAAAAAAGAATTAAAAAGCATCCCAAATATTTTGTTCATTGTACAAAACATAGGTAGGGAGAAAAGATGATAACAATGATATGCCATCACATAGATAGATAGATAGATAGATAGATAGATAGATAGATAGATAGATAGATAGATAGATAGATAGATAGATAGATAGATGGATGATATATATCTGTATTTATATACTCATATAGATATATACCCAATATATATATCCTATATATATCCAATAATTCTGAAAGGTCTATCACATGTATTTTTTTCAATTAAAAGTCTTCAGTAGCAACACAGATTCACAGTCTATGATTAAAAATGCTCCCTCAGAATTCTTAGCATTTATTCTGTTTTTTATTTGTAAAATACTTAATCTTGTAAAATAAGAATGCAGCAACACCAAGTAGGTATTATTTTAATTTGAAGATTTTAAGGTTTGTGATAGTACTGGATTTTCACGTAGGACTCATGCTTGCTAGGCAGATGCTATGCAAACCCTAATTTAAATTAGCAAACCCTAATTTAAGCTTTTTGGTTTTATGATTTTTCTCTTCATGCCTACCCAACGTTGGTCCAAAATTATGTTATATTATACTTTCCCTTAGTTGTTAAATGTATATAATCACAATTTTATGTGAAGCCTCAAAATATCTGGACTGAAAAACTGACCACCTACTTTCCTATAACTCTATACAAAATGGATCTTTCATAGAGCAAATTAATCTTGGTCAACCCAGAAACAAGGTATCCTTTGTTTAAATTCAATTTCAGTTCAAGAGTATTTAATTTTATTGGTTTTGCAGACAAATATAAGCCAAATTACAAGAGCACTAATAAGGGGGAAAAATAAAGCAGTTAAATTTTCTAGGAATGACCACCAGTACTAAAACCCCATCTAGGTGTGTGAGGAGAGTGTCTGAGTCATGTGCATTCTGACACACCCTACTCAGGGTGGGGTCTCATATTGTCATGATGGTCAAGTAGCCAGACACCTCATAAAAAATGCCTGTGGGCAAAGATACAAATAAGGAAAACCAGAACACAAGTGTGCTTTAATTAGAAATCTTGCGGTTGTCAAAGCCCTAATATGCAATCATCTCTACCCAGGAGAGGTAGCAAGGAATGTGCTTGGAGGCAAAGCCAGGTTGATCTACCATTTTGGAGCCTAAAATATTATATATTTATATGTATATTATATAGAGATTTATTATATATTTGATGTGTGTGTGTGTGTGTGTGTGTGTGTGTGTGTGTGTGTGTGTGTGTGTGTGTGTGGTTGCTGGAGGAAATAGGCGGCCGGGAAAAAGGGCAGGCTGCTGCCCAGAAAGACCACATCCCTACCAAAAACACCATCTGAGTCAACCATTCTTCTAGTGCACTGGCCTAAGACCGCTCAAACTGGCAAAAACAAACTATGTGCCACAAGTCCCTGCTCACTGCAAGTGCTGCTTTTACCCTGCCTGTAAAAACTCTGCTACAACTACACTCAGTGTGACCTCTCTGATCCCGACTAGGGAGTTCGCTCGGGAGCGTACCCCAATAAACTTTCCTGTGAATCTTTTATTCCTCTCTTCCTGGTCCTTTTCTTGCCTGAAATCTTACAACACACATCATTTATATTATACATAATACATGCCATAAAATAGTTCTTCATGGTCTAATGTAACATATTGTATTGTTACAATTTTGTAAAGTTATGTAGTGATCATGGGAAGAGGTACACACAGAATGATGAATGAAAGAAACTTACTGATTTCAAGGCTAATGCACAAAGAAAAAAGCAAGGCAAAAAATGGAAATTTTTATAAAAAGTGAAACCCATGTTCCCTTGCTGCCGGCATGCTGAACAGATGTCAGTTTGATTTGGGGCTCCATATGGGTTTTGCACTGAAGCAGCCGGGACTATTCCAAGCACTCAACCATTCCCCAGCAACCTCCTCCCACCACACCCCGACTATCCGGTAGGAAGAGCCACATCTTCAAGACAGCTCAGTTTCTCCGGTACAGTTTCTCGGTACACTGCTTTATTTTTTTTTAATTTTATTTTATTTTATTTGTGAACAAACTGTACAGAGGGGTTACAATTGCATGGGCAGGATAATGCGTACATTTCTTACCAAGCATTGCAGCCTCCTCCTTTGTTTACCCTTCCCATCCCTTCCCAGCCTCCCCCCTCCCCCCATCCCAATCCTTCTCACTGCTTTAGAGAAATAGCACCCGGCCCTTCAGGGCTAGAATGCTTAGTCTTATCTTAAACACAGAGAGAAGGGTGTTGAACAAATGAAAGCTGTAAATAGAGAATTTAAAAGGGTTAAATAGTAGGAATATTCTAATTATTTTCCTGGATGTGATTTGACTCCCTTCATTACTTTAGAACATTTCTTTAAAAATGTGTGTGTGTGTGTGTGTGTGTGTGTGTGTGTGTGTGTGTACTTTTAGGTAATAATTATAATCGTCTGCTATAATTGCTTATTATTTTTCTCACTTATTTCCCTCTTTCTCTTTCTTCATATATTGTTTCTCCAAGAATAACAAAAACTCAGTATTTAGAAAGTTATAGAGAAATTGCTCTTGCACAAGATATAAAATATAGCTTAGATACCATTTTATTAGTTAAGGATTATAGAAGAAGCTCAATTCAACTTTTATCAGTTGTAGCACTGAAACTTGACAGGAAATGGGCAAGGGCTATTTGGATTTTATAACATCCATATAAGCAGAAATCCAAGTGCAGCTGAAAAGCACACAAGATCCATACATATCTAAACTAATTTACCAAATAATCTTGAGGGTCTTATTGCAGGCCAGATATTGTTCTCCATCCCTCAAAAGGATAATACTCCCCTCCTTTTAATCTCAAGATATCTGACATCATCCCAAATGTTCTGTAGGAAATGAGCAAGTTTCTTTAAAAAAAAAAAGAATCAAGTGTTTAATTTGACAATAATTGAGCTAACTGGCTAATACAAGCTGAGCTGAGAATGATCCTGAATAGTATTCTCACTAGAGGACAGTCCTGGCAGTACCTTGTTCTCTGTTGGGTTCATTTCCCTCATCACAGCAAGCACTAAGAACCACTGTATGAGTCAAAAGTGGGTTGCATCCCACTGGTTTCCAAGGAAAACAACTCTCTCTCTCTCTCTCTCTCTCACACACACACACACACACACACCTCAACCATAGTTACAGAAAGACACTCAAAACTCTTCATATTGAGGTTCCAGGGAATAAAAATATTTTCAAAGGTTAACCACAAGTGGCTTAGGCCTGTAATTTTAGCTACTCAGGATTCTGAGGATTGCTGTTTGAAGCCAGCCTTGGCAGAAAAATTCAAGAGACTTTATTTTTTGTCGTTCCTGGAGTCTGAACTCTGGGCCTGGGCACTGTCCCTCAGCTCTTCAGTTCAAGGCTAGCGCTCTACCATTTGAGCCACAGTGCCACTTCCAGCTTTTTTCTGCTTATGTGGTGCTGAGTAATCAAACCCAAGGCCTCATGCATTCAAGACAAGCGCTCTACCACTGAGCCAACTTCCCAGCCCAGTTCATGAGACTTTTTATCTCCAATAAACCACTCATAATAAATTGGAAGTGGCACTGTGGCTGAAATGGCACTAGCCTTGAGCTAAAGAAGCTCAGGGACAGCACCTAGGCCCTGAGTTTAAGCCCCAGAACACACACACACACAGCAAAACTTAACTACAGGAGGTGGAAGTGTGGCTCAAGTAGTAGAGTGCTAGCCAATCTCTATCAATCTGAGGTTAACACCCTGAGTTCAAGCCCCAGTAGCAGCACAAAAAAATTAGCCACAGAATTATTTGTGGTTATCTACAGAAACAGATACTGTAGGATCTACAGAAATCCTACCTTGTATCTCTTTTCCAGGTATATTAAAAGTAAAATCTCAATTATATATGCATTTGAAGATTTCCCTTCCCTCTTATCTCTCACTTACAAATATAATATGCATGGAGTCACTAGGCATTTCCTTTGACTTCCCTTTTTCTTAGCCTATCTTTTATATTCAATTGTTAAGTCCCTTTGACTCTTTGGCTCTGATGTGTCTTTTATCTGTCTTTTCCTTTGTATTCTTGCTGCCTGGACTCAGCCCAGATCCTTTCATCCTCTCTTTAAATATTGCCATGGTCTCTTTATTGGACTTCTGCAAGTAGTCTGATCCCAGTTGTTACGGGTATGCCTGGTATGTGATGATATCATTTTATTGTTAAGAAATTGCAGCAATTCTGTGCCACCTACTTGGGAATTTCCAAATGTCTAATTTCATGTCTAATCTTCAAGTCCAATTCTACTTTTAGCTCCACACTGTCTGTCCAGAGTTATCTCCCACAATTCCCTCCCATGAGCTCTAACTGGTTGACCTTATTCATTCATTGCTACACAGTGTATTCCTCCTTGACTACACTCAGGGATATCTGCTTGTGGCAACAAGAACACCCCTCCTCCCTGGCTTCCTGGACAGCCAAGGTTTACACCTGTTGTGCTTACAGTAGCCATAAACAATGCTCCCTTTTATCTTCCAAGTGCCCATTTACATCCCACCCTATAAGCAGTTCAAATGTCACCTTCTCCATATCTTCTTCCAGAAGAAATCCCTTTCATCTCTGTGATGTACAGAAGTTTTGTACATCTTTAAGCAACTATATACTCTTTATTGTAGCCTAGGCCACCAATAGCAAAGCAGTAGTTCATGGGCCAAAGCTAATCAGCTGCCTCTGAGCTGTGAATAGTTATGTATATATGTATGCATGGATGTATATGTATATGCATTCATTTTGCAGTACTACTCTTGTACTTGCTATGCAAGCTCTCTACCATTTGAATCATGTTTCTAATTAGTTATTTTCCTGACAGTCTCCTACTTTATGCTTTAGGTCCACTTTGGACCTTGATCTTCTATCTTGGCTTCCCATGTAGCTGAAATTACAGCTATAAGCTACTGTGCACAGCTTGTTAATAGACATAGGGCCTTGCTAAGTTTTTGCCTTCACTGCTCTAATACTGTAATCCATCTATTTCTGCCTTCCAAGCAGCTAGGAAGCATGAGCCAACATACTCAACCTTAGTTTTTGCATTTTTAAGTGGTTTTAAAAACAGTAATAATATTTCATATTATTTATAATATGAAATAATATTTCATATAAAAATATATAATATCAAAATTTTAGAGTCGCTAAATAAAGTTTTGGAAAATAGTAATATTTATTTATGCATGCTTTGTCTGAGACCACTTTTGTGTTAAAATAAGTTTGAACAGTAAAATAAAATATAAAACAAAACCTTACATTTCTTCAACAAAAAATAAGAAATTGTGTGACTTGTAAATAACAAAGTTTACTGAACTACAACTTAAACCGTAGAGCTTATGAAGTCATACCTAAAGAGTCTGGCAAGCTGAAGACACACAGCAATTTCTGTCACAGGAATGACTGGAGAGACATAGATCTAACTAACAGGCTATGCATCACAAGCAGGCTCTAAGGAAAATCAGTGCTGTGTTTCCTATTTCAGATTTTCCCCCTTTTTATTCCTAGGCTCAATACAGTAAATATATTGTCTAAACATTTAATTTTTGACCAAGTTTAAACATGCTACCCAGACATTGTTATTGCCAATAAAGCTTTAAAAAAATCACTAGGTAAAAACAACAACAATAACCGCAAGATGAGGACTTAATGTTTTTTTTCTTTCTTGTTATTGTTTCTAACACATTTATAAGATGATTTCTTTGTTGCTTTGAATGTCGCTTCCCCATGGTATAACCCCTGTTTTCACTGTATTTGAGGTTGATATAATTTGGGGAGGGGAAGAAAAAAAACAAATTATTTAAATAGGGATACAGGTGGACCCATTGCAACTATGAGATGTACAAGACGCTATGTCGAAAAATGAGCTTTACAACTTTGGCAGGGACGGATGGGGGGGGGATGGGAGGGCAGGGATGGTAAGGGGAAACAAAGGAGGAGGCAACAATGTTTGATAAGAAATGTAAGCCAAGCCCAAAGAAACATAGGTCCCATGGTTTCCCTTATTTGCAATAACTAGTATATGTCTGAGACAAGCAGAAAAGGTCAGATAAGTTGA